CCATCTAGCGTAGTGTTATATAAGAATTTTCTAGAAATTTTAGGGGAGATCACTACCGCTTTATTTTTTTCAACACAATGTGACTAGAGAAAGCCAATACACAAACTGGTATTCCCCTATCTAAAAAATAAATAAATAGTCGACTCCGAGATTTCTTCACACCGGAACTACGTCACAGAGGACAATACACGAGCAAGCTGGCGTCACAGGGTGCGGGGGATGAACGGCCGCACCCCCCACCACGGGGCACATTCGCTGCACCCGGCGGTACCATAACTCAGCTAATTAGCTTTCTGAAGGAGAAAATAACAGTTTGATGAATGCTGCCGGCAATAATCCCCCTGCATTATATCAAGTTCTAATCACAAAATACATCTATAACCTCGTTTATTGATAGCACTACCCCCTCCCCACACACACATCCACACACACTCCCACACACCCACACTCCCACGTTTGCGGTAGGTCACTGGCAGAGACTGTGAGGCGAAACACGTGCTAACACAACTCAGCCTTTCATTACACCTTGTGATACTGCAGGCTTTTATTCTTGATATCTCACACGGCGCAAAGGGATGCAACTATTATCAAAGGGATGCAACTATTATCAAAGGGACGGAACTGTCAGCGAAGGGACGCAACTGTAAACCAAGGGACGCAACTTTTATCGTGTCTCTATAGTTAACCTTTAGGTTCATGCTTGTTCTATGCTAATTACCGGCAAATGGAGCTGAAAGCTACACGTGATCCTGGGATATATAGTTGGCATGAGGTGGTGGATATTTAAACCGGCTAGTGACTTAACGAAGATAAAAGCCGTTCCGGCTAGGCATCGCCCTGGCTATGATAACCAACAGAAAACAAATCATGGCAAATTTTTTCCGTCGACCATAGAAGTAACAATATAAAAAAAAAAACATCATAACTTATAATTAGATAATTTGACGTTAGATTTCTATATTTTAAAATAAAAACGTTGATAAAAGTGAGATTTTATTTAAGCACTAAAATGAAGAAAATAAAATTATACGACTGTTTACTAAAAATAAGCCAATATATTTTGATACCAGAATATCTGAAGCGAACATTTTCCGTCAGTTGGATCTCGATGAAACGATTCGTAGACTTTATCTCTACGTGTTTAATGATGCGGAACGATCGTCTGGGGACCGAGTGTTGGCGAGTCTGTAACTAGCTGGTGAGTGACTCGGGCACGTGCGGGAGGAAAACACCAAACATCGAGATTTCCGTTTAACACGTCGATTGGCGCTGGAATCGGTTCGATTTCTAGTTATCGTTGTTAGGTTGATTACATCGAAGAATCGAATCGATACAAAACTGTTGCACATTTAGAGGTCTGTCCTAAGAATATGATGAAACAAACTCACATAAAGTCACACACCGACCAACTCGTGAAATAAATGTATACACAAACACAAATAAATTCACATACACTCCCACCACTCACAATCATCATCACACACATTCTCACATACAAACTCACACTTAATTACCAATGAATACATACGTGCGCGCAAACATTATATGGATTTGCAAATACATAATACTATGCATATACGTTTATATATATATATATATATATATATATATATATATATATATATATATATATATATATATACACACACACATAAACACACACACACACACACACACACACACACACACACACACACACACATATATATATATATATATATATATATATATATATATATATATATATATATATATATATATATATATATATATATACATATATATATATATATATATATATATATATATATATATATATATATATATATATATATATATATATATATATATATATATATATATACATATAATATGTATTTCAATATTCGTTAATTATTACCATAGAGTTCATCGAGTGTATTATGACAAGGACGAGAGAAAGAAAGTGAATAAGACCCCCCCCCCCCCCAGAACTATTCGATTCTTGCATTGCCGTGCGAGCAGGTAAACCGACGGGCCAGCGATGACGGGCTACACCTTGATGCGCCGGGGCTCGGGCTTGACTCAAAGGGGAAACAATTAAAGCCCAATTGATGCGGATGGTTTCTACATTTATAAACAGCTCAACATCAGAGGGCTTTTCGTTTCCCGTGTCTGCATCACAGGAGATGGGTTTCACGTGCTGACCCCCCCCCCACCCCCACCACACCGCACACACCCCCGCACTACACAATTTAAACCAGAGTTTTTACCCCAAGGTAAACAAGCGTAAAAATTAATTTGGATTCATTTCTAGTTGTGTCTTAGCACAGTTGGTGTCTTAGCACAGTTGGTGTCTTAGCACAGTGTCTTAGCATTGTTGGCATTTTTACGCTGTTAGTGTCTTAGAACTGTTGGTATCTTAGCACAGTTTATATATATATATATATATATATATATATATATATATATATATATATATATATATATATATATATATATATATATATATATATATATATATATATATATATATATATATATACAACTGGACTATCACTCCGACTTTATCTACGCATAACATCATCAAGCAGAATGCTAAGATTGTCTGTCTGCGTGTTTGCCTGTAGTCTTTCCGTCCGTATGTCTGTCTATGGTATGTCTGTCTGATGCAATGCCCATGTTTACCTACAGCTCTGTATACTGTATGTCTCTTAGACTTTGTCTTACTCTGTATGTGTTTGTCTGTCGGTATGTATGTTTGTCCACCTGCAAGTGTCTCTGTATGGATGTCAGATGTCTGTCTGTGAGAGTGTCTGTCTAATGTCTGTCTGTCTGGCACACCTAGGTGTACCACTTGTGTGTTGCCTTCATCAACCAGGTAGAAGCTAGTGTTTATGTGGGCGTTGACAGTCTCGTGTGGGGGGGGGGGGGTGATGGGGTGGCGGGGTGTTGGGGGTGGTGAGGTAGCGGGGTATAAGGGGGTGGTGAGGTGGCGGATTATTGGGGGTGGGGGTGTCGGGGTATAGGGGGGTGAGGTATTGGGTGTGGCGGGGTGTTGGGGTGGTAGGGTGACGGATGATCGGGGGTGGTAGGGCGGCGGATTATCGGGGGTGGTAGAGCGGCAAGTTATCGGGTGTGTTGAGGTGGCTGGGTATAGGGGGTGGTAGGGTGGCGGATTATCGGTTGTTGGGGAGTGGTGGGGGTGCATATGGGCGTGCAGATGGGAGTGGGGATGTGATAAAACCTTCTGAAGATAATCTCCATAGTACAGATACGATGCTAGATTTATACATTGTCGTCGCCTAAGTTGCCAAGTTAGCCAGTCAAAACCCTCTAACCTCGAACCAAACATTTCGTTTGCTACGTTGGGCGAGACAGTGACATTATTTACTCCCAGCTCAGTCCCCAACAGGGGTAGGCGTATAACCCGTAAACAACACCCAGAAAACAGAAGAGCTCTCCGTAAAGAATGATTACAAATGTTGAGTTCATCCGGCTACCCCGAACAAGTTGGGTTATAAATAGCCTCAATCTGATTCAATCATATATGTAGGGCCGCGCGCAATATTAATGATCCGTGACGGGGTAGGTTTGGAAAGGGGGAGGGGCGGCGTCAAGGCAGTTTGGGAGGTGTTGGTACACACGAGCTTCGTGTAATATTAACAGCTTTTTTATGTTAATCAGAGGCGAACTGTTCATTCATAAAGTATGAGCAGGCCTGGTGTGTAGGGGTGGGGTGGAGGGCAGTGTTTAGAAAGTAAAAGGTCGTTTTTTTGTTTGGCCTTTCTCTCACTCAGGCAAGACGTTGTAACGTTTAACACGGGCCTTGTAGGGCTATGTTGTGCCTGTAGCTGGGCCTCTAGCTGGGCCTGTAGCTGGCCTCTAGCTGGGCTTGTAGCTGGGCCTGTAGCTGAACCTCTAGCCGGGCCTGTAGCTGGGCCTCCAGCTGGGCCTCTAGCCGGGCCTGTAGCCGGGCCTGTAGCCGGGCCTGTAGCTGGGCCTGTAGCTGGGCCTCTAGCTAGACCTCTAGCCGGGCCTGTAGCTGGGCCTCCAGCTGGGCCTCTAGCCGGGCCTGTAGCCGGGCCTGTAGCCGGGCCTGTAGCTGGGCCTGTAGCTGGGCCTCTAGCTAGACCTCTAGCCGGACCTGTAGCTGGGCCTGTAGCTGGGCCTCTAGCCGGGCCTGTAGCCGGGCCTGTAGCTGGGCCTCTAGCTAGACCTCTAGCCGGGCCTGTAGCTGGGCCTCCAGCTGGGCCTCTAGCCGGGCCTGTAGCCGGGCCTGTAGCTGGGCCTGTAGCTGGGCCTGTAGCTGGGCCTTTAGCCGGGCATACAGCCGGGCCTGTAGCTGGGCATACAGCTGGGCCTCTAGCTGGGCCTCTAGCCAATTAAACTTTTAATTTTAAGTTATTTTAATTTGACCAAGATAATTAGATATGATTAAAATGTCTTGGAAGGAGAGACGAAGCCTGCCTATGTTTATAAGGACAGTAAAGTTGACTTGGATTCTTGTATCAAAGATTTGGTCGAAAACAGCAATTGATATAATTTTTGTTATGGGATAAGCTAAAAGTTATAAAAACTAATAATCCTAAAAAAAAAAAAAATTAATAAAAAAAAAACGCCATTCCGTGATGGAATTTGAAAGTTTTGGAGGCTATCTTTCTGTCAAAGAAATTTAGAAAAATTTAGAGGCTGTTTCCGTAAAAGACGATGTTCGGGATCAATAGCTTAACCTACAACCTTATTGTCCATAAAATATTCCAGTAAAAGTAAAACAAAAAATCTTTAAAAACAAATTATCCTCCAATATTTAAATCGTCGGGAATAATGATAGAAAGTTTAATTAGAATATTCAAGACTACAATATGCTAGGTTTTAAATTTTTTAACTAGACTCTAGACACACGGGATCCTGAACTCTATTTTTAGAAACATGTTTAAAACCTAAAAATAGTAACATGAATGTATTCAAAGTTTTCTAAGAACTGCCAAAAATGCCTAAAAATAGTAACATGAACTCACTCCAACCTTTTCTAAGAATCGGCCCAAAAACGGTGTAGTTCTTCTGGGTGGTACAATTCCAGCGCTCGAACCGGAACTGGCTCTGGCACTCTAGTATTCCTCGCTTGGCGCCCTCGCTGATGCACATCAACGACTGGGGGTTGTCCTTGCAGACTTGCAGCTGCTGGTGCACGAGACCCGGGACCTCATTGCACGAGCTGTCATGTAGCGAGCCGGCCAGCGAGGCCACGCCGAGGTACCTGGGGCAGAGGAAAGTTGGGTCAATTACATCGACAATTTACAGGATTAATTTACATCTGCAATGTATATGTTCAACCATTTACATGCTCAATTTACATCTTCAATTTACATCTACAATTTACAGGCTCAATTTACATCTTCAATTTACATGCTCAATTTACATCTTCAATGTATATGTTCAGTCTACATCTCCAATTTACAGGCTCAATTTACATCTTCAATGTATATGTTCAACCATTTACATGCTCAATTTACATCTTCAATTTACATCTACAATTTACGGTCTCAATTTACATCTGCAATTTACATGCTCAATTTACATCTTCAATTTACAGGCTCAATTTACATCTTCAATTTACAGCTACAATTTACAGGCTCAATTTACATCTTCAACTTACATCTAAAATTTACAGGCTCAATTTATATCTGCAATTTAAACCTGCAATTTATATGCATTTTATATGCATTTTTCATGTTCAGTTTACGTGTTCAATAATTTACATGCTCCTTTTACACGCTCAATTTACTTGTTCAATCTACATGTTCAGTTTGCATGTTCAATTTACATACTCAATTTACATGTTCCACTTACATTCCCAGTTTACATGTTCAATGTATATGTTCCGTTATTTTACCAGCGCAATCAATTGCCATGTTCATTCAAAGTACATATTTAATTAATGTATGCCCTTTATGTTCATATTCAATTTCAGTTTTTTTATACTCTAAATACTTCTAATTAGCTTTGTTATAAAAAAGGTAGAGTTTGATATAGTGTGAGGTAGTGTGAGGTAGAGTGAGATAGTGTTAGGTAGTATCTGGTAGTGCGAGGTAGCGTGAGATAGTGTAAAGAGATAACAAAAAACAGCCAAGCTAATGATAATAAGTTTGCAGTTATTTCATCCTCTCTCCAAATAATTAAAATAATATACAAACTACATTGTCTGCCTATTCCCTAACTAAACCATAATGCTATAGAAAACAAAATCACGTTTATATCTTAGAAAAAAATTATTGAAATTTTAAATAAAACAAACCTAATGATTATTTCTATTAAAATGCTTTAAAAAAAAAAATAATTCGTTTTCTTTATTAAAAGCATTGGTCGCCAAAATGTGAACAAGATTTCATGAGTTATTCGTTTGAAGTTATTCTTTTATGCAATGTTTACCATTTCTATATCACTTGTCACAACCCCTCCCCCTCGTCCGACATAATTTTCATAAAATAACTTTCTCTTCCAACATTTTATTGAGTGAATTAATTCGCTGGCCTGTGTCGCTAGTCCATCTTTTAAACGTTGCTAATATCACACGATAATTATGACGTCACATGTGCAGACCAGATTTTTAGTCACCGTGACGTCACATGTGCCGTCCAAATATTTAGTCACTATGACGTCACATGTGCAGTCCGAATATTTAGTCACCATTTCGCGTCTTCCCTGATTGGTTAGAATCAAACGCCGCGCCAAACGCGCGCTAAAAAATGGACCAATAAAACGTCAACAAACGGGAGATAATGCTGTCAGTCATTGACTAGAGTTGTATCCCGTACCGCCGAAACAGGAAGTACAAAAAAATCTATGATGACAGCCTGTTGTGTCGACTTTTATTTTTTCCTTTAATGTCCGATTTTTAGATTTTTAAAAAACATAATTATAATCAATAGAATCGAAATTTCAGTTCATTATTCTATAGTACTTAGTATTTATCAAAGAGGGATAATTTCAGCATAAAAGGCTCTCTTACCATAAGCTGGAGGATAACTCTAAATACCATAGTCTATCCTTTTAATAATTAAATCCCCTGTTAGTTTATTATTAAAAAATACGTTACGGAAAAATTAGATAGGAAGTATGTTCTTAAAGTGAGATTGAATTGAACCAAATTAAATTAATGACGATAAGTGGAATGATGGACTAGAGATCAATGAATAGAAAGACGTAAATTAATGAGAAGAAGGGAAGCGGCATGAAAACGTTTGAATTAGTTCTTTAAGTTTCGCAATGGCAGTCAACACACACTTACGTCAATACAAACAATCGTGTTTAGCTGGAAACGTTCTATTCCCCGTGATATCTAAGTTAGACGCCTATTTTATAGAGGTAAATATACACATTATTGGTGTAATATATAGGCTTTAGATACATATATGAATTATAGGTTTATTTTATATAGGTAAATATATAAATTATTGGTGTAATTAATAGGCGATAGAAAAACATCTCAATTCTAGGTTTATTTTATGTAGATAAGTATCCAAATTATAGAAGTAATTTATTATGCAGATAAATATCTAAATGATAAAATAAGATTCTATAGAAAAAAAATATAAATTAGATTTAGTAAGTGATATCTAAAATAAAGCTTTGGTTTTCTTAGAAATATATATTTAATATAGTTTTAATTTCCATACGCAAATATCTAAAATACAATTTTAATTTCTATAGAAACGTATTTAAAATAGTACTTTAACTATCTCGATAATTATCTTAAATATAGTTTTAGTTTCAATAAACAAATATTTAATAAAGTTGTAATGTACACAAAGAATGTTCTAGCCGTCTGATAACGATTATCAAGGTTTTAGTTCTTGAGAAAAATGTAATGTACGCTTAGTGTGTTCATTACAGTGTCAATAGAGGGGTTGTGTTGTGTGTTTAATGGGGGGGGGGGAATTTAGACACACGAACACACACACACACAACTATACACACACACACATGGACATTTTTGAAAACGTGAGTACCACCTAATACCACTCTGAGTACACCACTGGTGAAGGATAATCTGACACCGCCATTTTGTTGATTATAAACCTCAAGCTTAAGGCATACCATCTACACGCTATTGAAATAAATTAGTCTAATTTAAAATTACGTCTTTTTACCACAAAGTAAACCCCACTAGACAATAAAAAAAAGTTCTTGTGAGATAAATATGTTTACAAGAGAAATATTCTTGCTGTTAACATTAATACAAAACATCTCTCAAATTCCCCTAACATCCATATACAATACACACAACACACTCACTATATAGGCCTGTATATACTATATTGTTAAATTTACGTCTGTGTGTGTGTGTGTGTGTGTTCACAGAAGCAATCAAGCACATCTTCGTCGTTAAAATCGTCGGTCCAAGACGTTGGTAATAAAAAGAACATTTAAAACTAAAAATGTTTTTAACTTTTTAAAATACTTTTTAAAATTATTGGAAACACTTTTGATATACAATTGAAAATTTTATGTTACAATTAAACGTATTACTTTTCTATCGCTTGACCATACAATATAAGCATATTAATGATAATTAATTAGTTTTGAAAATGTGTGTTATATTCGTATATAGCAATAATTTGGTTTAGTTATTTTAAACAAATGCTGTACGTTAAGTCAATGGAATCATTAAATGTCTGACCAAGACTGAAAGTATTTGTAGAGTTCTAAATTACGTCGTCGTATCGAACAGACTTTGGGAGTCCCATTTTTTTTTTCAATGTCGTTACACCTGGACCAGTCCATTTCTTCTCATGGGATGTGACATTTATCACACGATTGCACACTAGTTATGACATTTATCACAATTTTGTACACTAGTTTTGAATCTTAATTACAAAAATGTTAGCTGGGCACACATTACTTTAAACATTAGTTTGCTCCTTAACAATTGTACAAGGTTTATATACATATATATATGTATATATATATATATATATATATATATATATATATATATATATATATATATATATATATATATATATATATATATATATATATATATATATATATATATATATATATATATATATATTAGTTTGCTCCTTAACAATTGTACAAGGTTTATATACATATATATATATATATATATATATATATATATATATATATATATATATATATATATATATATATATATATACCCTACATCCAATGGTGACACATGACCAGGAGAATGAAAAAACTTTGGATTACTAATCCAACAACTACGCATGAAGCCACACCTGGTCTGACAACTACTCACGACTGATACACCCAATGTGTTTAGTTCGGACATAGTTAGACAACATGGTGACTTGTTTTGTGATCGATAGCCAGAGATCGATATGTGTCACCTCGTCATCACGTGATTCACAGTTTTATCTGATTCATCTTTAGTGTCTGGGGTCGTCCATACATGATTTGTACCCATCTAGTCTATCGTTACAAAAGTCACAAAATAGACTACTTTAAAATAACACTTACGTCCCCCCCCCCACTCATACACACATCAGAGGCGTAGCGAGGGGGGGGGGGCAGAGGGTGCGGACCGCACCGGGTTACACCATTTAGGGGGGTGACACCAAGGCAAAAAAAAAAAAGCCAAATATATGATATATTCCACTTAATTAAGCGATTCATTCGAGTGTTAAATAGTCTTTTAAGAGGTGCAAAGCGGAAGTTTGTTTGGGGGGGGGGGTTCAAATCGAAAGTTTGAGGAGGGGGTATGCAAATCGAAAATTGAAAGTTTGTCCCCGGGAAGGGTCGCTACGCCTCTGGGGGGGGGGTGACACCATTAAGTGTCGCACTGCGTGATACCCGACCTCGCTACGCCACTGACACACAAATTAGAAAAGCAATAACACAATTTTTTTCTTCTAAAACATTTACTGTTATTGTTAAAGGTTTTTTTATATTGATTTGTAAATAAAGTCATTTAAAATGCGAGATAAACGTTAAAGTTCTGCTTGAGTAATTTCTTTTTATTTGGTAAAACTGTGACGTCACACGTTGTGAGCTGTTTGTCCATCCTCGTCACTCCGTCACATCGAGGTGAGTGAGGGAGTTCACTCCCTCACCTCGCTGTTGACATTCGTTACGGACGACACATTGTGACAAAAGAGTGATCTGTCGGTGGTTATCGGACTTGGATCATCAGCTATCTTTTTTTATTTAACAGGGTTCGAATCCCACATTTAAAAATATTTCATTTTATTCAGTAAAAAAAATTGTTTT